TGCCCTGTTGGGAATTTATCTGTTTTTGACTCAAATTATTTTCATTTTATTCTCCCTCCCTGCGGATCTGAAATTTACTGACGGAATTACGATGTTATCCCTACTAATATTATAAATGAGAAAGTGTGGATGTTTGTTACTCAATCGCGCCAAAATTGTTGTTGAAAAATGGCATGTCGGTTTTCCGATATTATACATTATTTATTTATTTTATTTTTTATTTATTTAGATATTTTGGAGGATACAATCATTCTTAATGACAAATGAAAAGAAAATCTAATTTATTCTCAAGAATATGTTCTCTGCAGCCGGCGCTAAATGTTTTAATATTTTTCAAGTGTTCTGGTAGAATGTACGTAGTCGTGCCATAAGTTCTGTCCCATGATAATCTCATGATAAAAATGAAACAAGATAAGATATATTTATATGAAAGATATTATTTATTCGACAACATTTTTAGAATTCATAATCAAACAGTTTTATTCAAAATGTCCCCCCTTGGCCTTCACACACTGCTTCAATCTCGCGGGCCACTCATCTATCACTGCACGCACAGCTTCCAAAGGAATAGCTGCCGCTGATCGGATCAAATCCGCTTTCAGGGACTCGATATTACGGTGGGCTTTGGAGCAGGCCAACTGCTCTAGCAGGTCCCACAACTTGTAGTCTAAAGGATTGAGGTCCGGACTCCCTGAGGGCCAATCTTCCGCAGCAATGAACTCTGGCACATTGCTTTCCAGCCAGCGCTGCGTACTCTTAGCCTTGTGAGCGGGGGCGGAATCCTGCTGGTAGACCCAGTGTTGGTTGGCAAACAATGTACCACTTAAAGGCTTGACGATAGGATCCAGTATGTCGCTCTGATAGTTTGCCGCTTTTGTTTTCACGCCCTGTTTACAGAAATGGAGCTGAGTGACCCCTTCGTAGGACACCCCCCACCAAACCATGACTGACGCAGGGTGGTGGCCTCTCTCAACTCTCGGAATGATCTCCGAAGCTTCCTGTGAACTCCTTGCATACACTTTGTCATTTTGTCGGTTGAATTTTTCTTCTATGGTGAAGATTTTCTCATCCGTGAACAAAATCTTTCGGAATCCCCCAGCTGCGTACCTCTCCAAGAGCTTCTTGGATCTTGTCGCCCTGATGTGTCGCAAGGTGGCCGTAAGTCGCTGGCCCGTACGTCTCCGGTAAGCCCCTAGCCCTAGGTCTTGTTTAATGATGCGCGACATCGTCCGGACAGGAATCTTCATTTCCCTGGATAGGATCTTCTGCTTCCGGAGTGGATTCCTTTGAATCCTGGCTTTTACGGCTTTGATGGCTGCTGGAGTCCTTACTTGACGAGGTCTTCCGCTTCTTGGCCTGTCATCAACAGAGGACGTCTCATTGTACCGCTGAATGGTCCTAGACACAAATTTACGCGATATTTGAAGGCCGCGTAAGAGTTCAAAAATCTGACTAGCACTGTGATTACACTTATGTAAAGCTATCACTGCAATACGGTTCTCTGCCTTGCCCCACTCCATCGTTATGCTTCGAGAGATCAATACAAACTGAGGTATATGTAATTACCCGAAAAGCGCTTAATCAACTGACACCACAATGTAAACAATCGGACAAGTATTAACAGGTCTACACTTGTTTGAAAACGAGGGACAGAACTTATGGCATGACTACGTATATATACAGGGTTGAGTCATTTATTTTAACAGTGAGTAGATCTGATCAAAAGAAATGTTTTTTTCCTTTACCATTTTTCTGGTAAAATTAAAGTAACAAAGTTATAGCCCTTTGGAAGTTCGAGTACCGCCCTGTCTCAATAATAATATTATGTGCTCGTGTTTGGCGACAACGGATATAATCCGCCTTATCGGTTCATCGCAGCGGAAACAAAAAAGCGAAAGAATTTGGAACGATGTTTTTACAATTATTTCATTCAGTTGTATACAGTGAGTGTCAGTCGGTAGTGAATAGTGGTGTCTGTTGCGTGGCTCAAACGAAATAAAAAATGGCACATGTTTATGCGGATCGGTTTCCCAATCGAGTGCAACCAACCCCTTGTGCCTTTGTTAATGTAATACAACGGGTTCGTGAATCAGGTGACTTAAGACCTCACATATGGACGGTATGCCGGTGCTCCAAGACCTCACGATCAAATACAGGTCCGCACTGAAATACTTGTCGGGAGGATACTTTATAAAACAAGGTAAAAAATTTTTTTACACACATATTTTGGTTTATCTTCCTTCTACAATCATTATCTGAAAATTAATGACTCAACTTCAAAGTCACCCTGTATATATATATATATATATATATATCTTTGGTCCTATATAAATTATGTATCTTAAATTTAAGTTATTATTATTCTTGGGAATTTCTATTTGCCTGCCCACATTTGCACGAGTACCATAATAATGACTTCTTGTTTCTGTAATTTTTCATTTCTATAAATAAAAGTAGATACTGTCTAGGTTCTAATATTATATACATCCTTTGTAAAAAGTTTGTTAGTGGGGAACCTTTTATCTTTCTTAAAAACAATTTTAACAATATATTTTTCTGAATAATAATGAGTTTATGTAGAGTATTATTATACAGTCCCCCATACTAATATCCCATATCTAATTATAGATTCAACAAATGATTTATAAACTGTTATTATTTTTTATTTATCGAGAGACTGTCGCACTAGATAAAATTTATGGATTAATTTTCTAACTCTACTCGATACATAATCAACATGCGGTTGCCACTTTAAATGTTGGTCAATAATGATTCCAAGATGTTTGGTTTAAGACGCTTCCTTAACAGAATAATTATCATCCAACATAATAGTGTTGTAAGTGGTCCTGTTTTTATTGGTGAATGAAAACGCAATATAGTTTGTCTTAGATAAATTCAATGTTAGTTTACTCTCTTGTAACCAGTCTTTTACCATACCTAGACCCAGGGGCGGCTGGCCCTTAAGTTCTGCAAAGCTGCAGAACTGCCAAAACTTTTGTCTTAACAGGAAAAAGCAGTAGTAATTTGATCATTATTTATTTTCCATGTTATCACACAAATAAAAACAATACCGACAACGCTGCCCCCGCAAGACACGGCGTCGAGTCTGTTTTGTAATGAGAAAGCATTATAATCGACCAATTGTATACTTGGAAAGGGTCTGTGCACTACTTCGACACAAGCCGCACGCGCTTGCTTTTGTCCCTCTCTACAAAATCAAATGCGTGATTTAAGCATAAGCATGTGCTGCAAGTTATACAGATCCGTACAGATCTAATGCGAAGTAAGATTTGGTCGATCGGTGCTCGGTCCTTGGCGGAATTGGCATATTGGACTTGTCGCGTGATGTGGCGAAAAATTTTTTATTTAGGTATTTTGGGTCTTATATTGAGTGACTAGTGACTCACTGACTGACTGTGGCTGTGTAGAAGGGTAGTGCAAGATAATGGATGTGGTTTACAGACTTATCAGCGTGAAACGATTCTGGAAATACACATTTGAAGAAAAAATTGAACTGAAGGTGCCGGACATATTTATAGAAACACAGGGCGTTAGTCGGGGCAAGGGCTATGCGCGGCATTTCAGCAGGGAGATTTACACCAGAAATGACTGGATTTGTGGGTGCAACAGGAAGAATGCCCTTTTCTGCTTTCCTTGCACACTTTTCGGCGGTGACAAAGTTTGGACGGAGTTAGGTGTTACAGATTTGGTGTACCTATGTGAAAAAATTAAGAAGCATGAAAACTCTAAAACACATCTTCGATGGAATTGACTTTATTGGGGACTGTTAACATCAGAGCTCAGTTAGATTCAGCATATTGGAGAAATATAAAACAGCATAATGATACCGTTACAAAAAACAGGTACGTTCTATAAAAAATAATCGATTGCATAAAATTTTGCGGAGCATTTGAATTGGGGCTACGGGGCCACGACGAAACCGAGAGCTCCTAAAACCCGGGAATATTTCGTGGACTGATTAATTTTTCTGCTGAGCTTGATACAACCTTAAGCGGACACATAAAAAATGCTTCAATATTTAAAGGAACTTCGAAAGAAATACAAAACGATCAACTGGATTCTATTCTTGAAGTTTGTCATGAAGAAATAATAAAACAGATTAACAGGGCCTCGTATTTGGCGATAATAGCAGATGAAACAACGGACATTTCGGGGAAAACCCAAATTGGTAACAATTTTCAGATATGTATATTTAACGGCGAACCAGTAGAACGTTTTTGGAATTATATGAATCCCGAAAAATGTGACGTTGATACTCTCACAAGACATATTTTGAGCGTCGTAGATCCATTAATAGGAAATTTCCCTAACAAACTGATTTCACAAAGCTATGACGGGGCCGCGGTAATGAGCGGACATAATGCTGGAGTACAGGCAAAAATTAAACAAAGATATCCATTTCCTCACTATGTGCATTGCTATGCGCATCAGTTAAACCTGATTTTGTCACAAGCTGCTTCCGCAAATGCTCAAGTTCGGGTGTTCTTTGGGGATTTGAAAGATATTCCGGGATTTTTTAATAATTCACCTCAACGCGTAGAGGTACTGAACAGAATTGTAGGGAAAACATTCCCCAAGGAGCAACAACTCGTTGGAATTTTAATATTCGAACAATAAATGTAGTGTTTGAGAACAGAGAATCACTCATTGAATGCATGGAAGAAATCGAGGAAAATTTCACTAATGAAACCGTTTGCAAGGCAGCTTGCGGTATTTGCCGTATGTTAAACGATTCTGATTTCGTGTTTTGGTTGACATTTTTTCATCATGTCATGCCTCACGTCGACATCTTGTTCAACCAGTTGCAGAAGAGAAAAACCGAGCCAGCGCAAGTTAAAAAGGGCTATCGATAATTTTGAAAAATGTATTGTCGATGTGAGAAATAAAATTGATGACATAATAAATGAAGCCAACAGTATTTGCACTGAACCCCAAGGCAACTAAAAGAGACGACGTAATAATAGCAGTCACGATCACCGAGTTGCCGCATTAGAAGTATGCCACAGATTTCAATTAAAGATCATTTGGTAGGCGCATCGCTTTTTTCCCCGAACACTTTGGAGAATACTGTGGTAAGTTTCCTGATGACAAGTTGGAAACTACCTGCTTGGCTTATCCCGAATTAGAAAAAAGTCGTTTAAAGACAGAGTTGTCTGTTATTTATGCACGGAATTATTGCCGAGATTTACATGGAACTCTGTCTCTTTTGAAATGTTTGATACAAAATAGTTTGGATGAAACACTGAAAGAAACAAAAAAGCTATTAGAAATTATTCTTACAACTCCTATGTCATCAACAACTGAGGCTGAGCGAAATTTCTCAACATTGAAAAGAATCAAGACCTTTTTTCGAAATACTATGACCCAGGATCGCCTTACAGCGTTGTCGATGCTGTCCATTGAAAAGGAATTTATTTAGACCATGGAAAATTTCAAAGAGAAGGTGATCGACAAATTTGCTGCCAAGAAGGAGCGTATGATCGAACTGACATATAAAAAATAGGTAAGTGCGGATTTGCAGAACACCTGTTTTATTTTTTTGCCACGAGCCGCCACTGCCTAGACCATACACTGTTCTACACTTTACACCCTCCAAACTAAAACCTGTAAAAAGAAGCACAGTATATCGTCAGTATCATTATGTGCGTAGGTGACATTATGTAGGTTCATGAAGTGCACTCGTTGTGTAGCTGTACGTGTTGCCTAATCGTTATGACGCTTGAGCTATCATGGTCTGGATCTGATGTGATGTAACATCTGCTTCAGAGATGGCATTATTGGAGGTATAAGCTGTAAGCTGTGTACTACAGCTGTAAAGAAACGGGAAAATGGCAATGCACAGGTGCTTAGTAAGGATTTGTGTGCTAATAATCTGTGTTGATGACAATTCCCTTTGTTTTTTTTGTCTCAAATACACATACTTGATATGTATGCTTCATCCTGGAAATTACATATACAAATTCGCTATATTTCAAAAATGAGAGAGATAAAAGAGAAAATCCCTGGTTGGTGAAGTATATTACAATTAACAGGTGAAAAAATAGGCTACATACAGGAATATTTATGAAACGTGAAAAGGTTATTACTTACATTTTACATAATTTTTTATAGAAATTTATTTCGCGAAGTGAAGTTGGAAATACAAGTCAGCGCCTAGATATAAAGGTCTGCGAAAATGTTTTGTGTGTGAAGCGCCATTCCTAATTTTTCTGTGAAGTGGATTAATCTCGGTATTCCATGACATAATAGCTTTTGCGTATATGTGCGTAGCAAACTCTTTAAATTTACTTATATGTAGTCGGAGGGAGTTTATCCTGCGCAAGGAGTTAGCAATGCAGAGCTGAGTGGGCATTTTGAAATTCAAAGCTTAGAGTACAGAAGAAAGGTTTAATCTGCAATATTTCTTTTTGAACTATTACATGGCATGATCGGCACCCCAGATATTCTAGGGTAAATTAATATAAATGTATCTCCGTTTTCATCGCGTAAATTATGTCACTTTTAAAACATCTAGAGCAAAGACCAACGTTTCGGTCAAGTCACCTGTGCATGTTATGTCTAAAAATCTCAATAGAGTTAGTTGTGATTGCGATGTATTTATATCATCTCTTCGTGTAGTAATTAGGATGGCTTATCAGTACTTAAATTGATTATACTAAGTGACATATAAATCCGAACACCCAGTTTAAATGGTTTTATTTTAATAAAATTTTGTATAAGTACTTAATGAAGCATAATAAGTAAATGATACAAATTTCAAAATGATTGCACTGCTTTAAAGCCCTTTGACCTTTAATAATGTGTGGATGCACCCTGATGTGCTACGCATTCTCCAACGCGCCTAGGCATGCTTCTGATCAGGTGGTCAATGTCCTCCTGTGGTATCTCATTCCAGGCAACCACCAACTCCTCTCGAAGTGCTTCTAGAGTCTGAGGAGGACGTTGCAAATTGAGCAATCTCCTATCCATCATATCCCACACGTGCTCAATTGGGATAAGTCGGGAGATCTTGGTGGCCATGGTAACAATGTGACATCATTATGTTGAAAGAAGTCTAATGTGACTCTTGCAACATGTGGTCGGGCATTATCTTGTTGGAAAGTTGGATCTGCCAGGGTGTCAAGATAGGGTAAAAGATGGGGTTCTAGAACTTCGTGGATATAACGCTGCGCGTTCATGTTACCTCTGATGAATATTAAAGGTGACCTGGAACCATAAGCTATAGCACCCCAAACCATAACTCCAACAGTGATGAACATGTCTTTCAACAAAAAACTGTGGATTCCTCCTTTCACCACGTCGCCTTCTAACCCTGGCATGACCATCGTGCATGCCTAAACAAAATCGAGACTCGTCACTAAAGACAATACTGTTCCATTCCTGATCCCGGAGTGACCGTTGTCTGCACCACTCAAGGCGATTACGTCGGTGTTCTCGAGTTAAAGGGAGGACCCAGTGTGGCCGGTATGAAAACAAGCCAAAACTTCTCATTCGTCGGTAAACACTTCGCATGCCAATAGGTCTTCCGTGTTCTGCAAACCATTCATTTGCAATGGACCTGGTAGTGGAGAAACGGTCCCTTAAGTCCAATAATCTTAGGCGGCGATCTTCACGGTCTATTGTTCTACGGCGGCGTCCAGTGCCCCTTGCTCTTTGCGTACGGCCTTCTCGAAGCCATGCCTGACAACACCTAACCACAGTGTCTACACTTCTTTGCACTCTAACTGCAATTGCCCGAAAAGAAAGTCCAGCTTCCCGAAGTCCCACTATACGGCCCCTATCAAACTCACTAAGTTGACGAAATCGTACAGGTCTCCGTACTCTAGGCATCGTAACCGATCGTAAAGGATGTCAAGAACCAAAATCCGCCAACGTTGATTCTTTACTGCGGCTGAAATGTTCATTTTTAGAGCGTTAGTGAATTAAAAAAAAGCAGTATAAAAACCGGAATGTCCAACTGATAAGGCTGAAAATTTTTTCACTTGTTATTTACAGTAAGATAAATACATTCACCAACTTTTATTAAAATAAAACCATTTAAACTGGGTGTTCGGATTTATATGTCACTTAGTATATTTTCTCTCCAAACTCAGTCGTAGACTATTAGTTTATTTTGTCCTGTAAATGGGTAACTGTTGGACAATAAATGCTATTATTATTAGTGACTGTACAAATATGTAAAATATTGTATTAGCCAGCAGATTAGTTTACAGGCTTTATACATATTCTGATTGCTAATGGAGAGAAAAAGAGCAGATTACTTGCGTTTTTATAAAAATGTACCGAAAAGCCAATGGCGTAACTTACTCCTGTAACAAAATTAGTGGGGGTTTCCCTATCAATTGCGGATAATCTCAAATAGAGGATTAAATCTGAGATTCATAAAAGAAGCAAAGTCGTGTGCATTGAATAGTATGGATAAATAGTGACTAAGTATTGATTTTTACAATTAACACTCCAAGGTGGGCAAATAAAGAATGACTCGAAAATTCGCCTGTTTTTGTGCATTGGATTCCGACCCTGAGTATCAACCTAAACCTAAATCGTTATCAAAAAAATAAAACCGGCATTAATTTGTGTTTTTTAATATATTCAAAAATTACCTTATTCATGACCCCAAAATGTAAGAAGTTCTTGATGACAGTTCGACAATTTTTCCGAAATTTATTGTTCAAAAACGAAGTAACGCCTCTTTGTTTCTTTTATAACGATTAAATTGAGGTATGGGAGACGTTTTTAGGTTTATTCTCAAGGTCGAAAAACTGACCTTCGATCGGACCCTAGACTATAGTTTGTTACGACCGCGAAAGAAAGCAAAGCAAAAGTATCCTCTCAGAAGTATGAAATCTATTAAAATACGACAGCACAAGTCCAATCTATGTATTTCCAGAATATAACACACCGAGTAAATGCATTCCTCTCTGGAATGTAGCGAAGTCGTTCAGAAACGGAAAGCGAGAACAAATTTCGCACTTCCACGGTCCTGGGGGCATTGTCTACAAATCAGAGGAAAAGGTTGAGGTTTTCGCTGATGCCATGGAAAGACAGCTCTCTCCCAACTATGATCTCGATAATGACCTCGATGAGGAGCAACACATCGTAAGATCTGTCAGCAGATATTTTAGGGTCAACAGGTCAGTAACAGTCGCGCCACCGTTGGTCATCTTTCCTCATCAGAGGACTCTTTTTCAGAAGCTTCTTCAACCTAAGATCATAGCACAGTTCCCGCATTGCACACCAGCAGAGATTCAGTGTCATATTAAAGTACTTAAGGAGCGTAAATCACCTGTTGAGGATCAAATCACTAATAAGGCGCTGAGGCTGCTTCCGTGGAAGTCCTTATAACTGATCTCGTGGCAATCCTCAATGCCATGTTAAGGACCCACTACTTCCCATCCCTACCGTTTTGGCTTCTAAAAATACTGAAATCCTTCCATGCAGGTAGGAAATTTCCGATCAAAATTGACAATGCTCTGTCGACAACACTGCCCATTACAACCGGTGTCTCTGAGGGTTTTGTCCTTGCACCAATCCTTTACTCAATGTAGATATCCCCATCAACTGTGAAGTCTACCTCTATGCTGACGCTAGTGCGGTGAAGGTAGTATTAGAGTGGACGGATCGATGGCTGAATAAAATTAATCATTCGAAAACGCAGGCAATAGGAGAGCGCTGACGCTGACACGGGACAAGTGTAATCTAGAAATTTTTGAAGGAGAGAAAGGAGGATGACAATCAAGGAGGCCATTAACGCGCCCTACAATTGTAGGGACGACTGACGATACGGGCCTAAGGGTCGGATCGTCAGTCGTTCCTAGGCTTGTAGGACGCCTGTATGTCCTCCTTGATTTTCATAGCATTTTCTCCTCCTTCAGAAAGGCTGGGGTATCTCTAGGTTTCTACTGTCAGCGTCATTGCTCTTCTAGTTATGTTTTTTTTAATGAATTGTCGAAATTTTCAAGCTGATAAAAAAACACGATAAAAACCAAAAGTATGAAAAATTTGATGGAAATAGATATTTGTAACATTACCTCAAAATAGAGCGCCTCCGTCAAGAACAGGACAATCCATGAAAATTATGCAAGCCATAAAGGCCTCCTACAATTATGGGAACGACTGACGATACGGCACTAAGGGATAACATTAAGCAGGGCGCTATAGCCCCGGCGGAATCGCCCAGCAACCCTCTGTTGCGCGAGTCAGCGGACGACACAGTCGAGGAAGTTCGCAAGCACAAAAGTAGTGTAATCAAAATTAATTAGAGAATTTATAACAACCAAAATTTGGAGCATTTTGACAAAATCTTTACAAAGG